TCTGTGCTCTCAGCGCCTGCTTTTCTAGATAAAATGACTCGGATCACCATTAGCTCTAAAGTGGTTTTGCTGGTACAGTCGTTCAGCTCTTTTGTCTTCTTGTGTGCTGAAATGCGTTCCAGCTCTTTGGAATAAAGTGCGGACACAGCTACCTGTATGAAAGAGAGGTTGGGTGCTGTTGAATTGAAGCATTTGCCTTGTGTTAGTGGCTTTTCTCCATACTGTCGGCTTGCAGTTGTCCAGTAGCACACCGACGCACAAGCTCACCAAGAAAGTGTAGTTTGTCGTTTGTTTCAGTTTACATCGTGAATTGAATATTTGGGTCAACCGAGCTCAGTAATTGCCTTTAGGGCTCAATGACCACCTGGAAGGTAATCCACCAATGGGAGCCCAGACCGTAAGGCTGCGTACCCATTGGTTGAGACATACTCTGGCAATTGGTCAAATTGCTCAACCAGCCTATCTCTATAAACCACCGTCATGCAAGCGAATGCCGTCATTTGTGCGTCTTCACATACACAAGCCGCGTCCTCCCCATGCTCACAGGCTGTGGAAGAAGATCTCCCTTATCTTGTCCATATATAATGTGCTGTTGATATGGGTGTCCAGATACGAAGGTCAACAGCGCGAAGTTTCTCAGGGAGGCGGAGTTAGTTGGGTAAATCTTACCGTAGCAAAAGGACATACAAATTCGAATAAAGTCGAATGGCTTGGCCAGCTAATGAGCCTGAAGGTGCAGTTTGACCAGTCGTGATATGCTTACCATGCTGAAAGTCGACGTAGTAGTTAAAAGCTCGGAGGAGTGTTCTCCCAATATTCTGTCGTTGTATAACACAGCTAAGAGGGGTTCGGCTTGTCAGTGGATATTCCAACATTTTCCGTGGTCCTTCTGGTAGATACCCCGCAGTCGAAAATTCAGGTATTTAATGTCCTCAGAAGTTAATGTGCTAACTTGCAGTAAATTCACCGCAATGAAGCGTAATAGTCTCAGTGCGAAAGTTGAAATGTCCCATGGTATATACAGTCAAAGCTGCCGGTAAAATTAATAGTGCCAAGACTGGTATGCCGGCCAGATGGCGAAGATTTGGCTAAGATTATATCACAAAATCCCATTAATAAGACCCGGCGTGTCTCTAGGGGCCAACGGTTGAATTAGATTTACTGAAAACTGCAGGCTTCTGTGAGTATAGCTGTCGGAATGATACTTTATAGGCGCAGTCCGAAAGTTGAAATGACCAGTAGTAGTCATCTTTTACAGCTACCGGAAACCGGTATGCCGATCAGACAAGATTGGCAAGATTATATCAGCTAGTCGCACTAAAAAGGATCAGTATATTTAAAGAGCAACGGTTGGGTCAGATTTACCCAAAACCATAGGTTATTATGCGTATGTCTGGCCGAAATAGCACATCCGATGGGGCCGGAGAACAAAGGCCGTCGAGTCAGTTAAGTAGGGATCAGAAGTGCAGAGACGATAAGCGCTTCGTATGCGCCGGGTCGAAAAGCGACTCCAGACTTGCCAGCGATGAGCATTCATCTGACTGCGCCGAGTCCACGTGAGCCCATAAGCACTGATAGAAGCGAACATGCGAGTTCCAGGTAGCAGTTCAAAAGACGAAGATGCGATCACCGGAACAACAAATTTGTCAGCCTGACGTTTCCAAAACGTCAGTCATGTGGGGAGGGCGCGGGCGAATAATTGTCCCAGTTCAGAAGATGAAGATCCGATCACTGGAACAAGAAATTTATTTGCCTGAGGTTTCGGATCCTTACTCGAATCCATCACCAGAGACATTCGCAGATAAAGGTGATGGTGGCACAAGGAGTGCAGTATTTATAGCACGTGGTTACCGTTGGACCATATGCTCACTGTAATTAACAGCTCTCATCGCTGGGGTCGTAATTGATGCGGTGGTGGCTTGTCAGTCCGAGTCCGAGTCGTTAATGGTCGTGATTTCGTCATCCGTCCTGGATGCTGGTGTGACGATTGCTCGGCAAATTGGCTCACTGTCACTGGGATAATTGCTCGCCCGCGCCATCCCCACTTGACTGATTCCCCTGCCCAGGGAAAATCTCAGCACGGAATATGGTCCCGGGAGGTCATTGTGCTCGTTGATGGATTGCGGGCCTGGGAACCATGACTCGAGCAGCTCGCGGCTCACGCGGTTGTCACCCCTAGCGAGGATTTCGGCGTCTGCACAACCTGTGCCACCATCACCTCTATCTGCGAATGTCCCTGATGATGGATTCGAATGAGAATCCGAAACGTCAGGCCAATAATTTTATTGTTCCAGTGATCGCATCGTCGTCTTCTGAACTGCTACCTGGAACTCACCTGTTCGCTTCTATCAGCAATCTTTTTGGGCGCGAAGCGCTCCGATCGGCTGGACGGGGGGATACCTTTGCCCTTCGAGAGTCGTCTACGTATGCGCGGATTCGATTTCTGCACAGGTGTCTCGACAACAATGTGCTGCCGAAGTGCGTTTCATACAAATCTCCGCTCAACACAGAGCTGGCGAGACGCGCAGTACTTCAGCACGGCCGACGAATGATTCGAGTGCTCCTTCAAGACTGTCACTCATGGATTCGCAAATACCGTCAGAGGATTGACTGGGAGAAAGCAAGGTGCTGCGAGTTCATGGGCGAAGACGGCACAAAACTGTTTCAGCAGAGGCTGGCCGAACGAACCCGCGAAGATAAAGCAACACGCGAAGCAACCCTGGAGAGCAAATTTCGTAAGCTGCCTGCTCCAATGTCATCCAAGAACGAAAAACTGGTGCACAACTTGTCGTCAAAGGAGCTGACGGAGGAACAAATGCAGGTTTTGCGGCATGAGGCCTCATTCAGCACAGCCGATGCCAAACCTGCAAACATGATCGCAGCAGTGGAATCAATCCTCAGCCAGACGGGAGCGACAGAAGAAACGAAGAACCTCACTCGACACCAAGTGTTTTCCCTCCTCATGACTCATAGGCCACGCGACGTGCTTTCCAAGGTCGAGCGCGATGCACTTAAGGAACTCAGGGCCGACAACGACCTCGTTATCGTGCTTGCGGACAAGGGGCGTTCAACGGTCTTATTGGACAGGACAGACTACAATCAAAAAGCCAAAAGTTTGTTGGAAGATCGTCAGTCCTATGTCCCATGCGAATCCAACCTCATAAAAACGTTGACACGCGAGATTAACGCGACGCTGTTGGCAATGGAGAACTCAGGTGCAATATCGCCAATCGACCGACGCATGGCGAGAGCACAAGGAACGGCCCTAACCCGATTCTACGGTCGATCAATAGTGCACAAAGAGGGCGCTCCTCTCCGGCCTATCGTATCACTAAAGGGCACTCCAACCTACGGACTGGCAAAGTGGCTGTTCCAACGTCTCAAGTTTCTGACCTCCGATTCGAGCACCACAGTCAGCTCGTCAACGCAATTCTTGGAGAAACTTAAAGGAGTAAGTCTCCTGCCAAGCGATGTCATGGCTTCCTTTGATGTCACTTCCCTTTTTACTTCTAGCCCACAGGACCTGGCAGTCGAGACCATCGAACTACTCCTACGTGAGAAATACGACGAAACGGAGAATCGTCCAAATCATGCAGCTCCTGAAGTTTTGACTCAAGACGTACTATACGTTCGACGGAACAATCTACGAGCAGGTGAAGGGAACGCCAATGCGTTCGCCGATTTCGGGACTCATAGCCGAGGCGGTCCTACAACAGCTGGAGTCGCTGGTTATCCGACACCACAGACCGAAATTCTGGTCTCGGTATGTGGATGAAACCTTCGTCGACATCGAACGGGATCAGGGGCTGACATTCAAAGAACATCTCAACGCCGTCTTCCTGGGCATTCAATTCACGAAGGAGGAGGAGGAGGAGGAGGAGGAGGAGGAGGAGGAGGAGGAAAACAATCAGCTGGCCTTCCTGGATGTCCTCGTCTGCCGCAAAGATTGTGGTGGCCTAAAAACCAAAGTGTTCAGGAAAGCGACAAATAAGATGCAAATACTGAACTTCAATAGCAACTACCTGATCAGTCACAAACGCAGTTGCGTAAGGGCGATATACCGGCGCGTTGAGACGCACTGCAGTGAAATGGAAGACAAGGTTGCTGAATTACAATATCTTCGACGGGTAATGAGAGCCAATGGTTACCCGCGCAACTTTGTCAACTAGTGCATACGAAAAGGACACCAGAGACCAAATCCAACCGGCCCCAAACTTCGGCGGGCACTTCCGTACGTGAAGAACGTCTCGGAAGCCGTCAGTCGTCTTCTCATTCCACTTGGAGTTGAGGTTGCACACAGGCCGGAAGCAACCATTAGGCGCCAAGTCATGGGGCCAAAAGACCCGCTGCCACGGCAAGAAACGTCTGGGATCGTTTACCGAATCTGGTGTAGTTGCGGACAAAACAATTATGTCGGAGAAACTGGGAGATTACTCCGTGCGCGAATTGCCGAGCACGTAGCAGCAGTGAGGCGGGACGACGCTAGCTCTCAGGTGGCGACACACTCGATGGGATCCGGCCATATTTTCAAATTTCAAGAGACCGAAATCCTCGCAATGGGTGACAACCGCGTGAGCCGCGAGCTGCTCGAGTCATGGTTCTCAGGCCCGCAATCCATCAACAGACACAATGACCTCCCGGCGCCATACTCCGTGCTGGGATTTTCCCTGGGCAGGAGAATCAGTCACGAGGGGAGGGTGTGGGCGAGCAATTATCCCAGTGACAGTGAGCCAATTTGCCGAGCAATCGTCACACCAGCATCCAGGACGGATGACGAAATCACGACCATTAACGACTCGGACTCGGACTGACAAGCCACCACCGCATCAATTACGACCCCAGCGATGATTGCGAGAGCTGTTAATTACGGCACGCACATGGTCTCACTCCTTGTGCTAATGTCTCTGATGATGGATTCGAGTGAGAATCCAAAACTTCAGGCCAATAAATTTACTGTTCCAGTGATCGCATCCTCGTCTTCTGACACCTGCTTTTCCTGTAACCAGCGGGTGAGACTATCGCGACGGCTTGAGCCATGGCGAGACGCTAGCCTCAACAACCATCAGGCACAGTTCCGAACAGTAAGATCAGAAGTGAGACGCCGGTTGCGAGGATGTTCTATCGTGTACCAACCTATTAGGGCAGAGGGTGGTAGGAGTTGGTAGTCGGACGAGGGCACGTCCGACGCCACTCTCGTGCATCGCACTGTTCCCCTCTACTTTCAGGAACTCGAGATTCCAACGCCTTTACTGTCTCTCAGTGCTAGTACGGATTCTAGGTTTTTTGCGTATTGATCCAGTTATTTACTGCCAGTATTATAAAGCGCATTAAAACACTGTGCGGATGCACTCTCGACGACGAACGATGTTCAACCGATTGAGTTTCAGGAAAAGGCAGTATCTGGGGGGTATGCCATCATTAATCACGTCACGGTAAAGTGACGGAGGGATTTGATTCCGAGCATTCAAGGAGGCATTCATCGGTTGGTAAGATGTGGTGTGGTAGTCCCACCTCGATATATGTGGTTATATAGCTCCACCCGGTTGGCACAATACTGTTGGGGTTAGGATTAGGGGTTATGGTTAGGAGTTAAAGTTAGGGATTAGGGTTATGGGTTAGAGTTAGGGTTAGGAGTAGGGGTTAGGGCAACCAAACAAATTACAACCGCGAATTTCCAATAGCTTTTCTTTTGCATACAACTACTTGACCTCGTCGTCTGTGGGTTTCCCGGTGCCGCCTGTAAAAACCCCCTATTACCACCGGTCCCGTATTACAGGCGGCTGTGATGGTTTACCTCAGGTGCGGTCACATAACCCTGGCTGACCTTCATGGCTTTCTCATTAATTCGAGGCTCAGACCGCGTTTGCAGAAGCCGGACGCATGCAATACCGACTGGACACGATGTTTAGCGCTGTTAGCCCATCTCTAATTCTATTGTCACCGGGCCCATATGGGTGAGGAATATGAGGGGGGGATGCTGTAGATGCATCGCAAGCCAGCCCCATTATAACTAATTTCACCCGCGTGTCGCCGTCCCTGCGGCCGTCGTGCTCTGGGGCACCCCGTGGACGTCATCACTCGCGACGTCTTATATCAGCCGCGACAGCACCACTTATATCAAATATTAACTTAAATCCTGAAATGTGCTTTCGGGCTAGATCGCAGTTGGTAGCCAGGCCCCGTGCTACAGTTGGCTGGGGGGGGGGGGGGGGGGGTTGTTTACTGGGGCTATTTTGTGGGGTTCCATAATCACATCTGACCCATTTGGCTACCGTTTTGCGTTTGAGGTTAGGATTAGGATACCGGTTGATGTTTTCCGATTTTCGGGTTAGGGTTATGCCTCGAGGCTTAGGTTTTGGGGTTACGGTGAGGGTTTGAGCGTACGATTGAGTTTCAGTATTACGATTATGTTTTTCATTTACGTCTATGTCTAAGGGCCACGGTTACGTTTACGATTTCGGTAAGGGTTAGGGTAAAGGTTGCCGTTAGGGTTAACGGTTAACGTTTAAGGTTAGGGCTAGGGTTTGCGTTAAGGTTAGGATTACGGTTGAGGTCGCCATCCGCTTCGCCATCCCTGGCTACCAACTGCGATCTAGCCTGATTTCGATTTGAAAAGCTCACGTAGGTAGCGTTGCAATATTGATTATCATGCAGTATAATCCTAAGATATTTCAGTCACCCCAGAATGCCGGCTTTGTGATTTGCTCCTACTTTGCCGCCTGCAAAAACTGCGCTCTGTAACAAGTGACAATTTAAGTAGCATGAAGTCCTCCGAATGATTCTCGGTGCCCTTATAGATTGACTTACATTCCATAGAAAATATGCACGAAGGTGTTCTTTCTTTTGCTGAAAGTTTTGAATGTTATTTTCAAAATAAAGCATTCCCCTCTCTCTCTTTCTTGTACTCATTTCGTAGCAAATTACATCTTCTTCAAATTGTATGTTCAAAGAAAGTGCTTTCCCCAGTTTTAAATAGTTTATAATGCAACGGTATAGAAAAGGACCCCACTTAACTGTCAATAGACTGTGGGTCGTGTCGTTTGGGGTTTTACCTTGGCATGCATTTGCAGGCTGTTGCAGAAATTACACTGCCAACAACGAGTACTTCCCACGACCTCACACTTTAACTCAAAATCCGTTATTTTGTGAAATTAGCCTTTTATTTACTATTTAAGAACTATTCTCATTTACGTTGTCGTACAATAGCGTAGGATATGACTTTCGGCACAAATTCGGCAATTTTTGCGTTTTATTTCATTTTGTCAGCTTAATGTCTAGCATGCTGCCCCACCCATAAAACTCCCGTTATCATAAATCACGTATCCACAGTTTGATGGGGCCCTTCTCTACACAGTTGCCGTTTATACTTATGGCATTGTTTGAGACCCTGAAAAGGCATTTCATGCAGCATCGCATCAGCACGTTTATTTATGTCATTTATTCAGTATACAACTTGGTCAACGTCCACTGCACAATTTTATTACGCCTGTATGGCTTTCTTCCAAAGGCCTAGAAAAATGTGTGGTATTCCTTTTACGGACTGTGTACAGCAAGTAGTTTGGAAACCCTGAATGCAGGTGCAACGACATGTTGTGTTCAAAATTATTCTGGACGGCCGGAAGTGCTCCTTTTATCTGGCGGTCGGGCGGGCACACCCAACTCCAGGTTTGAGATTCGCGCACAGATTCGTTCCTCACTTACCGTTGAGGAGTACAGCACTCTACCATTGACCCACAAGCCATCGCCGCACCACTTGTGATCAGAAATATTCTCTATCGTGGTAATTGCGTTCGCCGATCGAGTCACAAGACATGCTCGTCCCGCTGCGTCTTGGGACTCGATCTGGAGACCTCCCAGACGAGCACGCCCCCTGACCTGATCGGAAAACGCCGTTCCCGTGTGCGCGCTTTAGGCGTCTCCGCAAATTCCTGTCTGCTAGCCGGATCGCTAAACGCAAACAGGACTTAAGAAGCCTGATCACGTGCTCACTCGAGGAAGAAGAAAAAGAGCCGCTAAATCGATCAACCCCGACAGGGGTTTAGTCACCTCTCCCCCGACGAGGAGGTGACTCACAACGCACGCAGCCAAAGGGCCCGCCCTCGAAAGGTTGAGGTGGCGAGAGTGTAGAGGAAAATCGATCAGCATGAGCCCGATCAGCGTGGGATGCCTGTGTTTTAAGAGGAACGTTTATCGATTTCTCTTATCGCTGACATGTTTTACTTCTACCCCTTCCCAGATAATTGTACTGGTCCGACGAGAATTTATCGAAAGCTACGTATGTTCGCCACCTCGTCTTCTGATTACTGCTATGGGAATTTTCGCAACTTCTATTTCTGTTGGATTAAGTGAATTTTACGCTGGAGTTAGAAGTCCAATTCGAAAGTCTATTCAGTCAGACTGGCGATCTAAAACCTAGCGGGCCTAGAGAAGTTGACTATCTGAAGTCGACTATGGTTAATTGCTGTCAACAGTACTTAAGGAAGGCTCCAAAAAGCAAAGGTCCCTTAACAAGGGCCCATCTCGATAGCCTCAGCAAACTTCGTAAAAACGAAAACATTGTGCTAACCAGGCCGGATAAGGGTTCAGGAGTTGTTCTGATGGATAGAAAAGAGTACGTAGAAAAACTGGAAACAATCTTGTCGGATCGTACTAACTTCTCGAAATCCTAGAAAGGCAGGGACCGCACGGAGGCCGTTGAAGGTCAGCTGACGGCGGTTCTCGAAGTTCTTCACAAAGAAGGTCACTTATCCGACAAAGAATATGAGCGACTAAGACCAGTGGGCACGGCCATACCCAGAATGTACGGCCTTCCAAAAATTCACAAGCACGGACTACCCTTACATCCGATCCTAGATATGAGGAATTCGCCCTATCACACTATAGCAAAATGGCTAGTCGAAAAGCTGAAACCGCTGTAAAGTCATCTGTACCCCCTAAGTTTGAAGGACTCCTTCGAGTTTGTCGAGGCGATCAAGGATATTAACGTTGACGGATGGAGGATGCTATCATTAGACGTAGCATCACTGTCTGCTAATGTACCGGTAGCCGAAATAATAAACTACCTTTGTGATGTTATCCACGACACGAACTACCCGTTAGGCATGCCGGTGGAGACGCTAAAAGAACTACTGACACAGTGCACGCAAAACGTCCAGTTTCTCTGCAATGGTCAACTGTACAGGCAAATAGACGGCGTAGCGATGGGCTCACCGCTTGGCCCATTCCTCGCAAATGTCTTCATGGGCAAAGTCGAGAGGACAATTTTACAAGACACTATCAATAACCTCAACTTCTACGGTCGGTACGTGGACGATATTTTCTACCTGACGGATGTTACCAACGACACAGACGCCCTGATTCAAAAATTCAACAATGCACACCCCTTGGTAAAGTTTTCTGCAGAGTTTGAGACAGACAACGAAATCGCGCTCCTCAATGTTCTTCTGCACAGGCAACAGGATGGATCTATCCAGCGTAGGGTATTGCGAAAGAAAACCGGGACGCGACAATACATTAATTTTCACAGTTTTGGTCCCCTAAGTATTAAACGGAATTGTGGTCCAGGGATTGGCAACCAGAGTGCGACGTATCTGCTCTCCTGAGACTATTGAGGCAGAACTCCAGCAGCTGCGGGATATACTCCACGAAAACGGATACCCAGAAAGATTTATCCTCCGGAATATAGGGGAGAGCACTGCAAAGCCCACCATGTCGACTGCAAAAAAGAAAGACTTATTTATAAGGCTACCTTTCAAGGGGACGCAGCAAGTGACCTAGTAAGAAGACGTCTGAAGACACAGATCACCAGCGATTTCCCCGCGGCGTACTTACGTGTATGTTTCACGAAGTCTCCCCTCCTACGTTTGGGAGGTAAAGACCGACTCCCGTTGCAGGCCACATCGATGTGCATTTACTCATTCACTTGCTCCTGTGGAGCGGGCTACATCGGTCGTACAACGAGGCGCCTGGAAAAGAGAGTACGGGGACACATACCGGCCTGGCTAGGCAGAGGTGAAAAGAAATCGATCTCGAGTTCTTTTCTCGCACATCTTGTCAATACGAATCACCGAGTCGATGCCAAAGAAGCCTTTCAGATTGTCTACCGGACACCAGCAAGCTTCTCCAGAGGCCTACGCCAATGGGTGCTAGCTACAGCCGAGGCAGTGGCTATACGGCTAGCCAATCCAGTGCTATGATGTCAGAAGACTTTGACACATGCGTTTTGACTTCCGTGGCCAACGCCGACTCCAACCTCCTGATGGCAGTGGTGTGTGCACAACGTACCCAACGTACAAACATTACTCACAACCTATGCCTCCCCTCCCCCTTCGCCCCCTTGACCCAATGACCACGACACGCCGACCACGCCATAGCCCTTCTCGTCATGCGAGTGGTGTGGGAATGATGCGTGTTAATAGCCCCTGGATCACTTATAAGCCCTGTAACTTTGCATAATTTAAACTTCTATGTTACCGTTTTGGCCTGATGACGTGTTACCGAAAACACGTGTTTGCCAAATTGACTTTTCAGATATGGTTATGTAGCCCCACCTGATGGACACAATACTGTTGGGGTTAGGGTTAGGGCTTAGCGCAACTATTAATCAACCACTCAAAGTACAACCGAACATTCCCACTAGCGTCGGTAATTCAGTACACATTGTGCGCCAAAACGACATAACGATAGTCAACGTCCGAGATCGACCGACGACTGGCAGGCCGCGTGTTTAAATTAACGAAGTTAGTCCTTGCCACCATGTTTAAAAACATATAGTGCGACCTAGGAGCATCGTGCGCCGGTTGCTTCCGACGGATTGATGAAAGTTCTGAAAGGCCGGATCTGAAAACATTCTCTCAGTCCTGCCAGCCTCAGTACCAAAAGTGCCGGACCTCGACTACTGGCGGTGCTGAAATACCCTGGACTTTGGCGTGGCAGTCGTGGATTGGATGTTTCGCGCGCGAAAACTCCTTTGTGGAAACGTCCCATATGAAAAAACGCTTCACGCCCGCTCGATAATACAGCACACGCTGATTGGCTGACAGCTCATGGGAACCTCGCGGTCGGCTTTCTGTGCCCTTCTGGTATTTCCTTCGCTTTTGGTTGTTATTCACTCCTGTTCCTCTCCCCTCTGCTAATCCGAGAGTGCGTCCACAGAATACTAGTCTGAAGCCCATTTCCTCCGGCAGAAAATCGTCCGTGAGCTGTTTTCCGTTTCCATTTTGGCCGTCAAATCGACTGTCACAGCAGGGAAAATTGAAAACTGGTTACGCACGTGGTCTTAACGAAAAAAGACCGCCTCGTCACCAAGCCAGTCCGGTTACCGCTGCAAACATGGCTAACGGGCAAACATGCCTTTGTAGAGACGACAGTTCAACCGCCTGCACTCCTGTGGGGAAACAATACTGCTGACTCCCGCTGGATTGAGGTAAATCGGTCTATTTGAAACGAAAGTTTGATATGGTTTTTTGGCCCGACGCCCATCGGTCGCTGCCGAATAACCACGTAACATTCATTAGCTGTCAACAGGTAGTCAGTGATGTTTGTAGATTCCTAGTACCTTTGCTGTCAGGTATGGCATGTCGTGCACCCAACGCATGTGCTACTGACTGCCTGTTAGTAGTTTGTGAACACTACGCTCGGAGTGACAGATCTCGACCGCATCTGTGTCGCGCAGCGGTGGAAGATCAGCGAAACGTGTCTGGGCTTTTTAACTACTGCCTGTGCTGTCAAGCGCGGTAATATGGTTGCGTGCCACGATAAGTTCGTGCGCATCAAACTCAATGTAGGATCGGATCTTATTTCGTAGCCGTACCTACAGTAGACAAGCCCCAGTGGTAATGGGGGGTTCAAGTCCAACCCCTAACGGATATGCCTACGAAATAAGATCTTTCCCAGTGTAGGTGGGAAGACTTAAATTTAATTTGTGCATGGATCCCGTAGTGGCGGGCGCGATCTCCCTTCCTCCTGCCGTGCACCAATCGACTGTCCAAGCCTGCCAACCGCATGGTGTTGGGATTGGACGACGTGAAGGTCTCCGTCTGAGGCCTGCCACCCATAAGTGCGCCCCGTGAGGCAGTCTGATCCCGTTTTGATCCTGCAGCACACGGGCGTCTGGTGTGCGCGTTCATCTCGTGGAAGTGACGCCGCCGGCGGGGGGCGTAGAGCAACACAAGTCTAGGAGACCTACAACCAACCAATGCTCCTTACCCCTCCCTCCCTCCCCCCCTCCAGTATTACGCCGTCAGTCGTTGCTTGGATCAAAAGGCAGGGAAAAACGTTCCGTCCTCTGCCAAAGGCGTCCTGGTTAAGCGCCATGGCGTGGTGTGATTCGCGTGTTCCCATTGGTTGAACCCTGAGTGCAAGCGCGGGCAGGCATCTCGCGGGCTGCCAGCGCGGAGCCAATTGCTGACTCACGCGCGGGTTTCACGGACGAAGCTGACCAATGGCGTGGTGAATCCCTGCCGCGCATACAAACCGGACGACGGGACTGGTGCGTCGAGCCCCCAGACGCCAGTATTGTGCGGTGTATCAAACACTGACCAAAGAAGCATCTAGAAAGGCCGCGCGATTTGTATTTCGATCGCAGTTGGTAGCCAGGGCCCGTATTTCAGGTAGCGGGTGGGTTTGCTTGCTGGAGCTCCATAATCACATCTGACCAATTTGGCTTCCGTTTTACGTTTGAGGTTACGATTAGGGTGCCAGTTAATGGTTTCCGATTTTCGGGTTAGGGTTATGCCTTTAGGCTTAGGTTTTCGGGTTACGGTTAGGGTTTAAACGTACGATTAGGTTTCCGTATTACGGCTAGGTTTTCCAGTTACGGCTATGTCTAATGGCTAGGGTTACGTTTACGATTTCGGTTAGGATAGCCGTTAAGGTTAACGGATAACGGTTAAGGTTAGCGTTAAGGTTAGGACTAGGATTAAGGTCGCCGTCCGCCTCCCCATTCCTGGCTACCAACTGCGATCTAGCCTTCCGCGCTACTAAAAAGGCCTCGTGTCACTAATGTTCTCCGACCCGACCGATCGATTAGATGTCTGGATCCAGGCCGATGATCGCGAGGGGGGATGAGTATAGAGAAGAGTATGTAATATTGTTATTCTTCCTCATCATAATCATTATCACCATGAACACGATAATATGCAAAAGAAAATTGCGTTGCAGAAATTTCAACGAAATTTACACACAATTCAGAATGGCAGTTAACACAAGTGACGCAGAAACGCAAGGACGGGGGGAGTGAGAGAGATTAAAACAGAATGCACTGTCAGTGAAGAGTTTTCTTTTGTCTCAAGGTTAGCAGAAGGAATTCGCAGGCAGTAACGGGGTTCAAGTGGTTGGCTGAACGATCGCCTTTGGTGAAGAAAGACCTGTTGAGAAAAGAGAGATTGGTAAGGAAATCAGCGATCCTCGGTGGTAGAGATGAGGTCGTTGGAGTATATAAGAGTAAATGGAGGTCTCAACGGCGACGGCAGGCGATAGTGGAACGGGGGTTGAGTATATAGGAGGAAAATAAGGGCACCCAAAGCCCTTAATTCCTGATTGTAACAACAAACAGGCACCCAAAACTGATTAGTTGAGAGTTCCTAGTTCTCTTTTCAAAGCATGCATGATAGGCGACCTACAACCGCTAGAGTGATGTTGACACGGGTGCTGAAACCTCTGGCTCTCTTGGCGGCAACACTTCGTCGCAGATGATCTCATCAGCCAATCGGCTGGCGGCATCTGTACACCGTGGTGTCGCACACATACACAAACGGCACGAGACTTGCAAATTGAAAAGCGTAATTGACAAAACCAGGCATTACCATTTGCAGGCTGATGTGTCTTTGTCGGCCGATGGCCCGTCATTTAGGTTCCCTAGTCAAGATATTCGGTGCACGCCATCTTCACATGATTGGGTATTCGGTAATGAGATGATGTGGGGCCGTAGTGTAGGATTGAGAGCGCTTTTGAATGATGTTGGTGGTGCCTGTGGTGGTGGTGGTGGTGGTGATAGTGGTGGTGATGGTGGTGGTGATGGCGGTGCTGGTGATGGTGGTAGTGATGGCGGTAGTGGTAGTGGCGGTGGTGGTGGTGATGGTAGTGGTGGTGGTGATAGTGGTGGTGATGGCGGTGGTGGTGGTGATAGTGGTGATGGTTGTAGTGGTGATGGTGGTAGTGGTGATGGTGGTAGTGCTGGTGGTGATGGTGGTGGTGACAGTGGTGGTGGTGGTGATGGTGGTAGTGGTGGCGGTGGCTGCGGCAGTAGTGGTGGAGCTGTCTACTGCGGCAGAGGTTTAACAGCTGGTGCTCCCCAATCCCACAAATCCGAGATAGGCGTTCTGCTGCAACAAAAATTAGCCCGTACTATCGGTTTTTAAACCGGTTATCGAAAAAAGTCGACGTAGCGGTAGTGGTAACAGTAGCAAGCAACGACGTCCACAGCGCGTCCCACGGAGTGGACGCAGCAGCTGTGATTTGCGCGTGAATTAGTTTACAGTGATAGGGGGCTTGCGAAGCATCTTCTGCACTCTCCCTCTTCAGCCGCTATGCTCCGGAGGTAAGGCAATCTCAAGACGACCGGAAGCGGGCGTTGGCGACCGGATTAACAAAGCCGTGGCCATACGACCGTGAGGCGACTGGATGATCGGCGTGTCTCACGCGTTTTCTACATGCTTTCTGGTTGAGGCGACGGAAATCTGAGATGACAGAATTGTTCGGTATAGAGCACACTCCTCCGATGACAATGCAATGTCAGAAGGAGCAGAGGTAGGCTCGGGCGCAGCGCAAAAGTGAGCCAAACAGCCCGCCACACACATGATCCGGCTTCACCACATGCACCAGGCTTTCATGAGGGCGGATCGACCTTCCAGACATGAGAATGTCATAGAGGTCACATTGAAAAGGAGGGACTAGAGCCTGACCATTGATCCTGAAAAAGACCGAGTTATCATGTCAGTTGATAACCTTTCAATTCACTAATCTTAGTGCGTCAGATTTATTATGGCGAGAAAGCAATTGGTTTGCCATGGTGATGAGTTCTGCCAGCGTCGGCATCATGAATCAGCTGACCGCTCGGCAAGGCTGTAACAGTCCGTCTACGCGCGCCACACACGACCCGGTATCTGCAAGTGCGCCTCGGAACCCTACATCAGCGAGAGTAACATAAAGGGCACAATGCTGCCTGACTCTCAGTTCGTCAGCCGCTTCAAAATACCCCCCCCCCCCTTGGCGACCAAGTTATGCCGTGAGTGGGCAAACTTTCAACATATACACAGGTGTTCGTCGCCATGCTACCGCATATCTATGAATACCCACAGCTCCCCCCTTCATCAGGGATCGTTGGACTTGGTGTGATGGCGGACATTTGCGTCGTTAATTGCTGCAATTTCATCACGTGCGTTGGATGTTGGTGTGATGATTGCTCGACCATCTGACGCGCTGACTCTAATGTTGGGAAAGGTGTTCACCTCTGCGCTCTCCGCGTGGCCAACAAAGCAACTACGTCGGAGAAGCCGGAAGACAGCTCCGAACGAGAATGGCCGAATACGCTGCAGCGGTGCGGAGAAATGACGCCAGCTCTCAAGTTGCGGCTCATTCTACCAGATCCGGCCACGCATTCAAATTAGACGAGGCCGAAATTCTCGCAAGAGATGACAACCGCGTGAGCCGGGAGTTGCTTGAGTCATGGTTTACTGGCCCCCAGTCCGTCAACAAGTGCAACGACCTTCCGATTCCATACTCAATGCTGAGACTTCGCATAGGCGGAGTAATTGGCCACGCGGTGAGCGCACAGGTGAACGCTGTTCCCAACACCAGGATCGGTGGGTCAGATGGTCGAGCCATCATCATACCAACACCCAACGCACGTGATGAAATTGCAGCAATTAACGACGCGAATGTCGGTCATCAAACAGCATACCAAGTGCAACGATACCGGATGATGGGGGCAGCCGTGAATGTTCATAGGTATGCAGTAGCATGGCGACTGCATCCTATAAATACTGCAGTCCCTTGTGAATGAACCACCAGTATCTGCTTTTTTGTCTCTGATGGTGGGTCCGAGCAGGTATCCGAAACGTCGGGCGAATAAGGCTCTTGTCCCGGCGATCGTGTCTCCTTCTTCAAGACTACTTCCTGGGACTCGTCTCTTCACTTCTATGACCAAGTTATGCCGTCAGTGGGCAAACTTCCAACACCGGTGTTCGGCCCTCACGGCCCGAGGGATCTTCGAGAGAAACTGTCTGCTGCAGCGGAGACTCGACCGCTGACGCTCCTCCCTCCCACAAAATCGAGCTTGATGTTCTGCGGCAATGACAATCAGCCCGTACTACCACGACTGGTAGATTTATTGTAACCAGGCGGTGTGTGTGTGTGTTCTGTACTCAGAACGCGAATATTATCAGGGCAAATCCTAGTTTTGGTAGAAGACGGAAGGCACCAGAATGAGGGGTTTATTGTGCACAGAACCCGGAGTTGTCCTCTCAGGCGGCACTGGCCACTGGCGAAGCAAGGGCTGGTGTTGACTGCGTCCAGTCATGCCTGAGAGTCCTTGGGACGGTGGTGGCAGCCGCTTTTGTAGGCTCGTGGGCTAGTTCAAGTGATCTCCAATCGGCATGTTTGCATTTGTCGAGGGGTGGTGTCCCAGTGGCTTGTTTTGCTGGTTGCAGAGGGTGGCACGTTCAAGTGGCGCATGAGTAGCCGCGACGCTGTGTGGACGCAATCGTGTCCCAGCTGAAGTCGACTGAGTGGCTCCAGGTCAGCTCGTCTGGGACGACTCACTGCAAAAGAGTGGATGACCTTGGAGCAGCGAGATTTTGAAAAATGACACCCAACCGGTCAAGATGGTTGTCCGTTACAGATTCAATCGTGCTGGATTTATTATAGTGCGTAGTGCACTAGTTTCCCATGGTGATGGATTCCCCTAGCGTCGGTCCCCTTCTTAACTGTCCCATGAATCAGCTGACCGGCCGGCAAGGCTGCAACAATCCGTCTACGTGTGCCACGCACGACCTGGTACCCACTACTGGGTCTCTGTAAGTGCGCCTTGGAACCCTACACCCGCTGGAGCACCATAAAGGCCACAAGTTCTTCGGCGCTCCAAAACACTTCCACGAGGACCGAGTTATGTCGTCAGGGGCAAACTTCAAACATATACACACCGGTGTTCGGTCCTCACGGCCCGGGGGTCTTCGAGAGAGATAAAAGACCCTCATGACATAGCTGGCGCTGGGTCAGTGTCCATATCTTGATTTGCTGTCAGCAGGGTCACTGGAATACACCTTAACGTCTGCTACATAAAACCTCCTTGTGTGCTAATAATCAGCCAGCTATGGGATGGCATAGCGAAGAAACAAACAGCCCAGTAAATGGCAATGTCGGCTACCGACAGTCACGAACTAGGGGAGGCAACCCCCCCAGACCTGACGGACGGTAGGGAGACCGGACAACCGCCGGAGGACAGCTGCAGAGACACTCACATGAGTTCGCGTCGGTGGGTGATGAGCCGATCGAAATCCTGCTTTTGGGCACGCGCAGCGGCGGCGGCCGCGGCGCCCGCGGAGGAGAGATGTTTGTCCGACGGTCTAGACAGCGGCTCCCGACAGCAGTCGCCACCGGACCTGGTGACGGCACCCACTTTCGCCAGTCCGGGGCCCCAGAGGCGCTGGACGGTGGAGAAGATGCCCTCCACGTAGGCTGTCAGGTGAGGCGGGATGATCTCACTCGGTGTCTCTGTGCATATGAGCGCCAGGAGGCAGGCGACATGGGCAAACAGACGAACACTCTGGGCGAGAGGGGGGTGGGCAGAGACAAGAGACGTGTTCAAGAGACAACTGGATACTCACCTGTTGAAAGGCAACCCGAACTGCCGAAGCCTGATACAACGGACAACTGAAACGACTATAAATATACTACTAACATGATTTAAATAGATCATTTTTATGCATATAAGCACCAGGAGGCAGGCGAC